ATACTCACCTTCCTTGGTAGATGCTGGAATAAATAAATAAGACTGACAGCATTCCCATTTTTGGAATATACGTATTGAAAAGTGGAGCAAGACAAGAGTCTCATTGATAATGTTTTACTAATTGTAGTACTGTACTCTTCCTTCAGCTATGAGTCCCCTCTCTCCCACCTCTACCCTATTCCCCAACACATGCACGTGCGTGCACACACACACACACACCAGCATACACGCAGGCAGACACAGGATCACCTGTATGTTCTTTTGCTAAAAATCTCATGTCCTTGATTTGCATAGATTAATTTTTTCCCTAGCTGCATGACAAGAAAAACAGGTGGATAATATTTACTTCCTCATTTCCCTGGGGTTGGACTGGATGAATTACTGATGGTTTAGGTAGAGTCTGTTGTTTTGTGGCTGTCTCCCATCAAGTCACATGACTGGACTCCATATCTTACTCCAGCGCAATCTTGTCACCAGGGCCTTGGCCAGGGCTTGTGTCTGGCCAGAATGGCTCCCTTTCTCTACTGCTGTCATTTTGTGCTGCTGTCTGTCTGGCTGTTGTGGGCATCAGGCCTCAACACTTTATGTGTACTTCTCACAGAAAACCTTGAATGCTGCCAGACACATGTGCTCTCTAAGTCCAATAAGCACAGCAAATGCCCCTGATGAAGGACTTCCTTCCTTCTGCCTGAAATGCCTTACTCACGACTCTCGTCCTAGCGTTGCAGTGGCTTCCTCATTGGTCTCCTTGGATGGGTCTCATGACTCAGTTCCTGCCAGGCTCAGCTCTTCTTGGCGATGTCCTGAAGCAGCACCACTCTGATCTGTCACACCCCTGTTTAGAAATATTCAAGTATCTGCATTACCTTCCACATTTCTCAGTTTGGAGCTCAATGTATTCTACAATTGCTTCCCAACTTACCTTTCCAGTTCACTCTCTCTCCACCTCCTGGGCAAACAATAAGTTGGTAAGTTAAGTGCTTTACATTTCATCCTAATGATATTCCTATAAGGTGTATGTTATTATCCCTGTTTTTCAGATGAAGAAATTGAGGCATATTAAGATTAACTTGCCCTAAGTAACCCAGTGTATTTAGTTTCCTGGGGCTGCTGATATTACCATAAACTTGATGGCTTAAAATAACAGAAATGTATCCGTTTCCAGTTCTGGAGTATAGAAATCCAAAAATCATGATGTTGGCAGGGCCACATGTCCTCTGAAGGAGTTAGAGAAAGATCCTTCCTTGTCTCTTCAGCTCTGGTGCTTGTAAACATTCCTTGGCATTGCAACCCCAATCTCTGCATGACCTTCTTCCCTCTCTGTCCCCTCTGTGTCAAAATCTCTCTTCTTTCTCTTATAAAGGCACCACATATTGGAATTAGGGTTCACCCTTAATCCAGGATGATTTCATCCTGAGATCCTTAACTAGTACATCTGCATAGACCCTATTTCCCAATAAAGTCATATTCTGAGGTTCAAGTGGACACAAATTTTGGAGGAAGACTGTTTAACCCACTACACCCAACAAGTAAGAATTTGAAACTGAATCTCTCAGGCTATCAAGCATCATACATTAACAGCTTAACTTAATGCCCCCCAGAAAGCTCCTGGCCAAATTGGAATTCTCTCATTTTTCTATATAGATTTTTCCCTTTCCTGCCTCTCTGTCATTGCTCATGCTGTTTTCTTTACATAGGCCAATTTTTCCCTTTGTCTTCCTTTCAACCAATCCTACCTGTGGAAATCTTGTGTAGTCTTCAAGATGAAGCTCAACATCACTTCCTCTAAGAAGACATCCATGGGCTGGTGCAGTGGCTCACGCCTGTAATTCCAACACTTTGGGAGGCCAAGGTGGGCAGATCACTTGGGGCCAGGGGTTCCAGACCAGCCTGGCCAACACAGTGAAACCCCGTCTCTACCAAAAAACACAAAAATTAGCCGGGCATGGTGGCACCCACCTGTAATCCCAACTACTCAGAGTCTGAGGCAGGAGAATTGCTTGAACCCAGGAGGTGGAGGTTGGAGTGAGCTGAGATTGTGCCACTGCACTCCAGTCTGGGCAACAGAGCACAATTCTGTCTCAAAAATAAATAAATAAATAAATAAATAAATAAATAAATAAATAAATAAATAAATAAGACATTCATTACTACAACAGCCAAGCAAAGGATTTTTCTCCCACCTGAGCTAAACTGCCTTACTGCACATGTCTCCGATGGCCCATATTATCTTCAACCTCATGTTGTAGGTTTCTGTGCAGTTGTCTCCATTCCTGACAACATCTGCTTCCTGCCATTGTTAACCACATTACAAGCACCTTAAAGGCAAAACTGCCTCCTCCCACCATGTGTTCTCCACAGTACTTTTCAGAAGCCGGAGCTCCACAAATTTGCCCAAGTGAATTTAGAATCATCTGCATCTTTCTCTGCATTGAATAGTTCATGTGTTTGTAAGCAAAAACGTAGGATGCTTAAAAAACTCACCTTTCCCCAATGCTCCCACTTTCTCCAACTGGAATTTTTTTAATGGCCTAATTTTCTTTTCCACATCTAACTCAATCATCTTAACAATTTTTTTCATCATTTGAATTTTATCTAATGGATAAAAATCAAGTCCCTTCCTGGTATAATTCTCTCACAATTTCTTTATTTTCTTCCTATCACCAGTGCTACCTCCTTTGGCTTTTCAGGACAAATTTATTACTCTTGAGATCTCTCAGGACGAGGATAACATCTTAGCCATCATTATATTCCTAGCAGCTATTAGCACCTGGGTGTCCACTAATATTTGAAGACTGCACGAGTGTGTGAAGGTGTGGATGCTGCACTAAAACAGGCAGTCAGAGCTGTCCCTGAGATGATGACTTAACTTTTGCAGGTCTCACATAATCCTTACCACAACGCTATGAGGTGGGCATTCTTCCCATGTTACAGATGGGAAAACTGAGGCTGTGAGACAGTAAAGAACTTGACTCTTGGCCACCCATCCAGTAAGTGATGAAACCAGATTGAAACCCAGGTTTCTCTGACCCCGGAGCTAAAACTCTTAACCAAAAATCCTCTCAGATTGGATTGCAGTCGGCAATATCCTGCCCTGCTTCAAGCCAAAGGAATGTGGTCATGACAACCTTGAACACACCGTTAAACCTGGGAGCCTTGGCATCTATTGGCCATTTGGTTGGGAAGGTCTGAAAGAAGTGATGAGGAAACTTGAGATTGAGAGAACAGAAAAGTAGTGTAAAGAATATATATGCATTGCGTGTGTGTGTGTGTGTGTATTCTGTGTATACGATGATACATGGGGATGAAACAGGCTGTGTTTATAGGGAAGTTTTGGAGATAAGAATATACAAATGACCAGGAGTCACAGGTGGACCTCAGTCCTAGCTCAGACACTTAGCATCTGAACAAACTTGGACCAGTCATTTATCCACCTGAATTAGTTTGCTGTGAGATGGCCTGTTGACCTCACAAAGGCATTGGAAGGATCTATGAAGTTCAATAAGAAAGTTTGTAGAATCCCAGTATATGCAGTGCACTGCACTGATGAGTAGAAGAGTAAGGAGGAACAGAGTGGTGGTCCCTGATTTGAAGGAGTTTCCATTCAAATTAGGGGAAACAGACTTGTAAAACTAACTCTAAATGATACAGAATGGAAAATGTGCAACCATGGAAAGGAACATCTCTTGAGCTCTTTCCTGTATGGTGGGTTAAAAGATGTTAATCTCACAATAGACTTACAAAGTGGGTATTATTAGCAATCCCATTTTGCAGATGAGAAAACTGGTAGCTAGAAACCTTTAACCTTTACTCCAAAAGCCACGATACTAAATTCCACAGCCAAAATTCACCCCACATCTATGTAACCTGAATCTTTACTTGTATCATCCATCTCCCCATGCTATTGCCTTGAGCAATTTTAAGATGCAAAGCACATTGAGATGGGAACCTTTGTGCTCAACTTGGAAAAAGGAGGAGAAAGGGCAACAAAAACAGAGCAGAGACCCCCTTTAAAACTGTGTCACTTTAAGGCCAGGCGTGATGGCTTATGGCTGTAATCCCAGCACTTTGGGAGGCCAAGGCAGGCAGATCACCTGAGGTCAAGAGTTTGAGACCAGTCTGGTCAATATGCTGAAACCCTGTCTCTACTAAAAATACAAAAATTAGCCTGGCATGGTGGTGGTGCACGCTGTAGTCCCAGCTACTTGGGGGGCTATGGCAGGAGAATTGCTTGAACCCAGAAGGCGGAGGTTGCAGTGAGCCAAGATCACGCCACTGCACTTCAGCCTGGGTGACAGAGCAAGACTCCATCTCAAAAAAAACAACTGTGTCACTTTAGGGAATGTCTGAAGTCCCATGATTGTCACCATCATTGTGTGTCTGACTACAAACTCAGAAAGCTAGGGAGAAGAGACTGAAATAGGGTACATATAGGGCCAGAGAAGATGTGAAGGCAGAACACCAGGAAGTTCCATTCCAGCAAAAGGGCTGCATACAGCCACTGGATAGATGCCAAGTGATTAATGTCAAGCCGTATTAACGTCAGAGAGGAGAATTTGGTGAAAGCTTTGCCTGGCTAGATCTCGGGTTGGAAATCACTAGTTTCCTTTATTTTATTTCCCCCTAATCCTTTATAACTTCCTCTAATGCCTTAGTCAAGCTTAAGACCATGAGCCTCCAGGGAGCAAAGCGAGGCCCATCTGTTCAGTCAGGCATTTGCCAGACCAAAAATGTCAATCTGGCTTTTCCTGTAACAGCATTGAGATGACCCCAAATACTTCCCAACAGTATCAGCCAAAAATAACTTTGCATTACCGTGAATTGTGATTCCAAAGCAGAGATGTCAGGGATACCCTTTAAAACGGATAATGACTGGGCTATTGCTGGTGAGAAAAAAGAAAGAAAACAACAGGCATATGTCTCTTTGGAATGTGCTTGCTCTAAAGGCTGTATAAAAATAATCCTAATCATCTTGCTTGGGGAGGAAAACCAATCAAGAATGCCTTTTTTCAAATATTTTCTTTTATTATAAGACATATAGGTAAAAACTTGCATATTTTGAAAAAGATAGAAAATGGTAATAAAATGGATATTTTTCTTATTAAGAAATATGTTCATAAATATGCTTTATCAAATGTTAAAATGGTTATTTTGCAAAATAATAATAAATAGAGCAGAGCTGTGACATACAAGGATCAACCAAAGTACTGGAAGTTTTTATGCTATATGTTTTATAAAAATTCAGACTTCTGATTATACATTAAAAATTGACATTTTGCACTACAGGGTATCAATAATTTTGATTTTAAAAATATTTTTATGATGACTCCATGAATTCAAAACTAATAAAACATAAAAGGTGGTTTGACTAAATAGAATCTGATTCAAGTAATTTTCCCCTAAATAAGAAATTGTAAGATATAATTTTTGAGCCTATAAGGGATACATGTATCAGTTCCCAATTCTACACATCTCAGTGGGCACTGAACAAAAATTGTTTGCCAAGCCTTTGTTTCCAGCAAGGTCCACATTATTTCTTTTCACAGTTTGATGGAACAATAATAGTCACGATTCTGATGAGCCTAGTCCTACAATTCTAGCTCCATCGATCTTAGATTCATAGAAAGTTTTCCCTCCTTTGAAGAAACTCATTAACAACTTTCTTATATTTGTTTATGACCCATTGGCCTCAAAGTCACATATCAGAACACTGGGCAAAATTTTTAATGCGAAAATTTCTTGTTCTAGGCATTCTTTGTAAGCTTTACTTCTCTACTATCCAGAAGAGAAGAAACACATGTGAACACCAAACACATCCTCTAACGAGTCTTGGGTGTTCAAATAGCAAGGTCAGGCTTTTCCTGGAAATAAATACTGACTTTTTACAAAAATCTTCCATTTCCCATGCTTCATGTTGCCCACAAGGCTAATACGTCAGCTCCCTGCTACAATGGGGGAAACCACATCTAACAATACTGAAGTATCCAATCTAATATAGATTATTGGTCCCAATGGCCTTCAACAATGTCCATCGAAGGGACATCTGGGTGACTCTGGGTTCCTAGAGTACAGAGAGGTCATGGCAGGATTTGGACTTGAGCTTGAAGGCCATATTCTTGTTGTTTTTGGCCACGATCTTGCCCCAGAAGCGCCTGGCCTTCCTGGGCATGCTCTCCTTCCTTTTCTGATAGGCCAGTCGCCGCTCATTCTTCTCCTTGCTGTCCCGCCGGAGGCGCACCTGCCGCACAATGCCCTCAAACAGCTCCTTCACGTTGTGCTGGACAGCTGCGGAGGTCTCGATGAACTTGCAGTCAAACACCACTGCACAGGCTCTCCCTTCTGGGAAGGAAAGAAAGAGGTGAGAGGGGCTGCAGAGCACAGTCTCGCACAGCACACAGTCAAGCTGGATGGTTCTTCGAGGTAACACTAAGTCAGCTGTATATGCAGTGGATAGAGGATGCTGCTGCAGCACGGGCCCTCCCAGGGCATGAATAGAAAATGTCTCAGTGGAGGATCCTTGGAAGTAAGGGAGACAGGCTTTAGACCTGGCCCACCATATATTCACTGTCCGAAGGTCCATTTCATCAAATACAGTGATATTTGTTATAACAGTAAAAGCCATATCCTTAGTTTACTGCAGACTTACAATGTACCAAGACCCAGGCTAAGTTGTTTATAAACGCTGTTTTCAATGTCCACAACAATCTTGGAAAATACATTATTATCCCTGTCGAATACATGAAGAAACTGAGGGGAGTCTCCTCTGCAGGTGAAGTTCACACAGCCTGTAAGTGGCAGTGAATCCAGGTCTGCTCAGTTCTCAAGCCCACACTCAACTCTTTCTCCTGACCCAGTTTCCAGAATTGGGAATAAGAATTCTACTACTTAGCTTTCCTCTCTTTAAAAGAAAATAAAAATAAAAATGAAAATAAAGCAATAATGAGATATCTTGGGAAAAAATTGAGAATTGTACAAATGTGTAATACAGTTAAATTATACAAGCTTTTCTGTGACAGTCTCAATTGCAAGTATCTCATTGTGTTCAATGACCACGCATCAAGTTTTGGTTTGGAAAAAAAATGATTACTGTAGACAGTTGTGTCCTAGTAGGAAGACATTCCCAAACTAGCATGTACATTGTCTTTATCAGGTGTCTTTCCTCCTCAGCAGGGCCTGGCAATGCAGTATTTTAGTTTTATAATTATATAAGGGATCAAATCTGAATTAGGCCAGTAAAATCTCAAGGGTTGTAAAAGCACTTGGGTGCCCACTCAGAAGACAGAGATTTTCCCTGAACTAAGTACGAAGAAGAATATGTGACCCCATCAGACTGATGCCTTAAATGAAATTTCAGAAGCCAGGGATGGGGAGTAGGAGAGTAGGACAGTGTTTCTAGGGCTTACAGGAACCAGAGTCAGCCAGAGTAGAATTCTTTTTCCTCAATGAAACTCTTTCTCATGGTTCCCCTAAATCAGAGTTCCCTATCCTTCTTGCATGAAGATGCTACTTTCTTTTCCCTGTACTCTTGGGAATTCCAGGAAACTCCTTAAAAGTGGGAAGATTAGCATCCTGCAGGTAGACCAGATGGACAAAGAGAGTAACTAGTGTGGAGGGGACTGACTGGGACTGTAGGAGTCTGAGAAACACACCTAAAATTTCACATAGCATCTTTATGAGTTCCTAGATCCAGCCTCGTGGAAGGAGGGAAGAACCTGTGTCTGAAGGAAAATGCATGTGATCCAGTGACTGTTTCTGCAGTATTGGCTCTGCTCCTCTTACCTGATACAGACACTTCCCGGCACCGCACTAAGTCACTTTTGTTGCCAACCAAAATTATGGGAATGTCCTCTGTCTGCCGAGCCCTGCGAAGCTGAATTCGTAGCTCAGATGCCTTCTCGAAGCTCGCTCGGTCTGTGATTGAGTAGACAATCAGGTATGCGTCCCCGACCTGCATGCAGTGGTCGTGGAGCCATTCATTTTCCCCCTAATGAAACAATAAGATCTTCTGTGAGTTCAGTTACACCAGGGAATGAAGCGTCAGTTTGCAAAAAAACACTATGTGTGTCCTAAAGTACCCTTGCTGACAGGAGGAAGGAAGAAAATCGCTTCCGACTCCCCAAAAGTATTGGTCTTCCATGCCTATAAGATGTCTGGTGGCTGTAAAAATTGCTAGCCTGTCCACTATTTATGCCAAAAAGTTTTTACTTTTCAATATCTTCTACAGCTTGATTTGATAAATTATACAACTACTCTGCCAAACAGCATTTCCAGCTTCTATTTAATCTACCACAATGAGCATTTTCTGACTTCCCAAAAACTCCCTTTTGCCTTTTCCAAGTGATGAGATTAAGAACAGTTTTGTGGGACTAGGAGGGTTTTCAATAAACAGAAGTCTAGCACATAGGTTCTGAAGTTTTTTTTGTTTGTTTGTTTGTTTGAGACGGAGTCTCGCTCTGTCGCCCAGGCTGGAGTGCAGTGGCTGGATCTCAGCTTACTGCAAGCTCCGCCTCCTGGGTTTACCCCATTCTCCTGCCTCAGCCTCCCTAGTAGCTGGGACTACAGGCGCCCGCCACCTCGCCCAGCTAATTTTTCTTGTATTTTTTCGTAGAGACGGGGTTTCGCCGTGTTCACCAGGATGGTCTCGATCTCCTGACCTCGTGATCTGCCCGTCTCGGCCTCCCAAAGTGCTGGGATTACAGGCTTGAGCCACTGCGCCCGGCCAGGTTCTGAAGTTTTTTAAATCTTTAAAAAGCCAATGTTGAAGACTAGTATTGAGAATCTCAATATCTTCATATAAAATGGATTTATGTTATTTAAAGTAACTGTCCATGCCTGTTTGTATTTTCCCTAAAACAAACAAACTTTTTGGGTGTGTTTTTTAATAGAACTAAAGGCAAGTCACTACAACTTGCTTGTTATTCAGAACTCATTTGTTAATGACCTGTTCCTTAGAACAGTCTCATCCTTCAGAAGTATGCTTTTAATCAAGAAAATGAGCCCACCTCATCTGCAACACCCACTATATAGGACAAGGTCACCCTCGCACCAAACAGTTTGTTGAAAGGAAAGCCCTGAAGGAATTTGGAGAGCTACAGGCTCTGTATACCTTATTTTCCCACATATCCAGGAGTATAATCGTTGCACTTTCCCCATCAACCATCAGGGTTCGTTCATATGTATCTTCTAGAAAAGAAAGAACAAAGATATTGGAGTCAGGCGAATATGCAACACTTCTCCATAAGAGGGTCAGGTAGAAAATTATGCTAGAACATAAACTTACTAAATATGCAATTAATTATGTAAGTATACAAATATTTTCAAAGGCAAATTACTATATTTTGTCACCTTCAACAACATTCTACATATAATTCCTCCAGTCCTTATCCAGCAGAACGTCTCTCTTGAACACGTATCACTAAACCACATGGAGTAAAAGACATTTGTTTGCACCATTCCTGGACCTTTTGTATGGGAAAATCATTTATGAGGATAAACTTACTTAAGAGCTTTTGACTCAGATTCAATGGTTAATGCCATGGGGAAACATTAACCACCCAGTGAAACTGTAAGCTGCATTTTCCTGAGTCCATTGTACCTTTCGGTGGGTAGTTACTGAACACTCACTAGCAATTTCAGGAGCTCTGAGCTCAGAGACATTGCTCCTCTTTGGACAAGTGCAAGAAAGAATCTTGAGACTCTCCCTGTTTTGGCTGTAGTTTTCTTCCTTTTCTTAAAAAAATGCTGTTCCCTAGGGCTTGTTTTCCCATCTTGAGTATAACAGAAATGCAGCCTCCAGCTCTACGTGGTAATGGAAACTTTCCTCCCTGCACTTGAGCCCAGATCGTGTGTAGGTGAAGGGCAAACACAGTACAGCGCAATGGGCCAAAACAGTTCCAACCTGGAAAATCCATGGGGAGCAGGCATAGAAAGGGGCGCAGTGGGATTTCTGCAAGTGGGATTTCACTCATCCCAATACCATTGAGCCCATCCCCACTCTATTTTCACAATGAGGTTTCCTGTTTTGAATTTCATCTTTTGAAAATTATGACTTTCATAATGATTTATCATTTTTCTTCTGGTTCTTTTTGTCTAGGATTTTTTCCCTCAAATATCCACAAGGCCTGTTCCCTTACCTCCCTCTGGGAGAGGTGCTTCCTGGCCATCCATTTAAAATTGCAACACTTCTCTCCCACAGTATTCCTTCCCTGTTTTATATTTCTCCATCTCACCTATTGCCACCTAACATACAACACATTTAACTTACTTATTCTATTATTTTCTGTCCCTCCTGCCCCTCCTCGTACTGTTAGGGCAGACATTTGCATTTGTGCCGTTTACTGTGTCCCCCAGCACATTGGTACATTGCTGGTGCACAATAAAGTCTGTGCAGTGAACGATGATAAACATAGCATTGTGGCTGCAAAAACAAGCAAACCTGAATTGGAATCCAGGTGCCATCACTTATGAACTCTGGGGGTCTGCACCACTTAGGCTCTCTGAGCCTCAGTTTTCCTCATCTGTGCAATGGGATTGATAATAGTACTCACACCTTAGGGCTATGTGACAATTACCTATATTAAGTCTGGGCACAAAGTAGAAACTCAATCAGTGTTAGCCATTATCACTTCTTCAGGTGAAGGAAGCTGGTTCTTACCATACTCAGCACTTCCTCACTACAGATAAATCCTAGCTTAAGAGAGCTACATTGGAACCAGGGCACTTCTTGTTTTACAATAGCAAGGGGTTTATGAAAAACACTGCTCCTGGTTTAATGCTTCATCATCTAAGAACTGGAATCAGGAGAGGTTTCCCTTCCTTACAGAAGGAAAACTTGGACAAATAAGAAGAGAGTTAACCAGGGATGTCCCTGTCTTTCTGTGAGTTTCCCCACCTCCCACAGCGTCATTCTTCTAATCAGTAAGTGTTTGCCCCTGGGGAATTAAAACTCTGTCATGCCTATCGTGTGCCTTCTCACAATACGCAGAAGGAACGAGATCACAGTGGGACTATTTGGATTACGAGGGGTAGAGCCTGACAACCTCAACATGCAAATTAGACAATGCAATGGAGACCATCAGAGCCTGGGCAGCACAGAGCGGGGATGGCCTGACCGCTGCTTCCCTTCCCACCACAGGGTTCTTAGCTTTTCTCTAAAACCCCTCCCTGCACTCAGACAACTCCTTCAATGATGGAGGAACTTTCCCAGCTCACCACTTAGGTACAGGGAACTTGCTTGAGTGCCCAGTCATTCAAATAGAAACATACTGTGTTCCAATTGCTGATGGGAAAAGAAAAACCCAACTTTCTCCTGGCTTAAGAGATATCAGAACAAGTCTAGAGAAAAAGTGGACTAAGGATCACAGCCATGAAAGTAGAAACACGATGCTTTGCCGTTCTAGAAGCTTCCTGAGAGCCTCTAGTTTCCTGGCAGGCTCTGATCTTACCTTTGCCTGAAAATTACTGTGTTGGAGGCCTGGGAGGCTAAAACAATCCATCTCCTCCCTACTCAGCACGTGTGCTCTCCTTTTGATCCCCCACCCCAGTACATGAGTTTAGATACGGCCTCTGGCTATGTGCGCCAGGACCCTTCCAGCACACATGGCATCCCAACTGAAGGCTCTCCCCTAACCAGGTGCAAGCCTGGGAGTAACCAGAGCTCCAGGTTTCTCTTCATCTAAGTTGCTCAGCTCATCTTTTATCCTTTTCAAGTGCTAATCAGGTGAGAAGGGAAGGAAAGGAATACCAGACTCTTGGAGAGCTCTTTGAAATTTGCTTCTGGTAAAGGTGTGGAGAAAGGTTTGGATACTGATTAGCCTCTGTGAAGCTTTTCAGTAATCTGGGTCTGGGGACACCCCCACTTCTCCAGTACACTGGAAGAAAGCTGGGGTGTCTGTCCACTCTCTATGTAGCAAGAGAACTCATGCTGATGGGGACGGACAGAGGTTCTACAAAGGGTGATGGTGGTCAGTAGCCACTTTCTCTAAACCAGTGTGTCTTTCCTCATTTGATCCCCCTGACAGACTCTCTCCTTAACCAAACTTTAGTCAGACTCCTCTGAATCCTCTTCTCTACCGGGCCTCCACCCTGGGCTTCCATTTCCATCCTGGCAGAATCCAGCTTTAGCAAGAATCCTGCTAAGTCAGTTTAGTGAGAATCCCCCACCTTCAATATCTGATCAAATTCCTCACCCACCACCTCTGATGTCTAAGTCTTTGGCCTGACTTCAGCAAGAATCCCCCCTAACCTTGACGTCTCCTCTTAGTAATTTTCCATCCTCTGACCCCCTCCCACCTGCTCCTTGGCCAAGTGCCCAGTTGTTCTTCTTGTATTTGGAGTTGAGCCCCATCTCTCCCCGCTATTGGGATGCCTATTGCAATGGTCCTGAATAAGGTCTTCCTTACCATGTTAATAATTTTTTTGTTAGCGCCTCTTGTGCTTGGAGGTGAGGCCCCTTCTGCCCGAGACTGGCTCTAGTGCTGTGTGTGGAACCCGCCCAAGTGTTCTCTCACTGCCAGAACCGACTCCTGCAGCACCTCTAAAGTTCCGAGACTCCAGCATCCCTCTCCCTGAAAACTTTCAACTGCTTCCAGCTTTCATAGCTCAGGGGATCCCAAGGAACCTCGGAAGAAATGCCTGCTCTACAAATACTGTCTTCTCCTTTACTGGCCCAGTCCCCTCTGCACAGCTCCAAGGGCCCCAGCCAACAGTGACCAAAGTGGACAGGGGCCACAAGCAAGGAAACCGCCACTTTTGAAAGATAAGCACATCAAAAGGAAATGGTAGATTCAGAATCAGCTCTAACTAATGCTCATTTTGTACTTATTATGTGTCAGGCACCATGTTGCACGCTCAACATGTTATCTCCTTTAATCCTCGTAACACCCTATGAAGGAGGTATTACCCCAATTACACTAATGAGGCAGCTTGAGCAGGCTAAGTGGCTTCTCCAAGAGCACCCAGCTAAGTCAGTGTCAGAGCTGTGTCTAAACCCATTCATCAAACCCCAAGCCCAATAAGACTTCCATACTTTGCTGTATATATGTGGTGTGCCTTCCCACCTAGCTCAGGGCTTCCAAATCCTACCTGTTCCTAGGGTTCAGCTCAGAGACAATCTCTTCCATGAACCTTATTTTATTTTATTTTATTTATTTTATTGAGATAGAGTTTCACTTTTGTTGCCCAGGCTGGAGTGCAATGGCAAGATCTCAGCTTACTGCAACCTCCACCTCCTGGGTTTAAGCGACTCGCCTGTCTCAGCCTCCTGAGTAGCTGGGATTACAGGCACCTGGGGATTACAGGCACCTGCGGATTACAGGCACCTGCCACCATGCCCGGCTAATTTTTTGTACTTTTAGTAGAGATGGGGTTTTACCATGTTGGCCAGGCTGGTCTTGAACTCCTGACCTCAGGTGATCCACCTGCCTCAGCCTCCCAAAGTGTTGGGATTACAGATGTGAGCCACCGTGCCCAGCCAACCACGAAGCTCTTAAATCCACAGACAGAGGTAATGTTTTCACCTCTGAATTCCCACAGCACTCTCCTTACACCACTTTCAAGACACCGCATCCTATCTCAATTTCTACTTGGTGTATACATTATGCTCCATTGCATACTGTGAGCATCTCCGCAGAAGAAGCCCCATGACTATGACTCTTCGCATGTCCCCGGAGTGCCTCGCCAAGCTCTCTGCTATACATTCAGTAACTTCTTAGGAATGAATGAATGAATGGCATTCAGTGTGTACAGAGAGTCATAAGATTACTGCAGTATAATTATAACAATATCCATCTTTATTAGCAGAAATAATTGTGAGAATATTATGTCGATTTTTTTCTTATAGTAGATGCTGATTTAAAAAAAAAAAATGTCGGGGTGTGCCTTAGAAAACCTTCCTCTTGGGAAGCAAAGCCAACTAGTGATTCCAGCAGGTCCTACAGATTCTCTGTGTAAGAAGCTAGGGAAAGGATTCCCTTTCTCTCTTGTGATTGAACCCAAATCCTGTGTCTTTTCATGGTGCCCTGAAGCCCCAGGATCAGCCATGTGCCTGATGCCCAATCTGCTGTCATATTGGGCATCTCTCTCTCAACAAAGAAGTTCCCAAAATATCTGGGAAGCCTACCTTTCCAAATTCCAGGTATGAGTCAGTCTTCTTAACATTTTATCCCTATGGGAATAGTACCCTCTGGATACATACCACTCCATTCTAATGGACAAACATTTTTTAAAGTCTACTATCCACTAACTTTTTTCAATTCTTCCCCTTAAAAACAAACCAAAAAAAACCTCCCAGTTGATCTCTTCCTTATGTCAATGCCCAAAGCACTGTATTGTTACTTCTTAAAGTATTAGTTAATGTGATCCTGCTCTGCAACATAGCCACTGACACTTAGCTCATTAAGGAGCATGGTATACCTCATCCATCACCACGTACCCCAGAGCTTAGGACAGAGCCAGCTGCGTGGCTGATGCCCAGCGCGCTGTCATACTTAGTATTTGGAAGCTAAATCCTGGGGCTGCAGGGGGCCATGAAAAGACACAGGATTTGGGTTCAGTCACAACTAGATTTGAATCCTGGTCATGCCATGTACTAGTTTTTTCACCCTGGGAAAGTCACTTGACTTTGTAAGCCTCCATTTTTTCACCCATAAAATAGGTATATTAATGCCAGATTGATTCAAGTATTATCAAAAACATGTGTGGGAAGTACTTAACACAGTGCCTGGCACATAGCAAGTTCCCCAGAAATGGTAAAATGAACTGAACTAAGATTATAAAATCCCAAATTCTAAATCTACCTTCCTTATTGGGTGATTCTGGATAAAGCTCTTGGTCTCCCTGAGACTTAGTTTGCTCATGAGTACAAGAACTTTGTGAAGACCAAAATAAACATGAGCAGATATAAGGCACCTAACAAAGTGCCTCTCCCATTGTAAACATTCACTCTAAATGTCAGTCCCTTCCTTCCATTTCTCTTTCCTAGCAAGTCACCTGGCAGCCTTTACAAAGAAGGAGGGAATCAATTGTACAACACTGGCCCTATTTCTCCCTTTACTCTTGTGAGATTCCAGGAGCCAGGAGAGAAATCGATGTTACATCAATGAGTCATCATTTATAGCCCAGTTCCTGAGCTGCCTCATGAAGCAGTGAACTCCTTGACACTGAGACAGTCAAGAAGAATAAAACCTCCAGATGAGATGGGCTGTGGGTAGTGAGGAATAGTATTAATATGCATCAATGCAGGGGAGAACTGAGTCATCGCTGAGACACCTCCCTACTCTGTGATTCAGTTGTGAGTCGCGACAGAACACAGAACATGTGACTTGGGGAAACACTGAGCAGTGCTTCCTTTATTTCTGTAGCGGTGAATAGGGACACATAACTACCCTGGTCGCATACGCTCAGACTGAAGCCGTGGCTGAAAGACACTTTATGGACGGCATTGGCTACCAGGATCTTCATACTACCTAGCAGAACATAGGGCTGTACTTTACCCCTAGCTGAAGAATACATGCATTTTGAGATAATGTCACCTCAAAACAGTTTTGGAAATAGGCCAGGTTCCAATCAATAAATAGATGAAATGAAATTGTACAGGGAAAATTGTCTTGAAAAGCTGTCAGACTCTATACAAAGTATCATTGTTATACTTCACATTTTAAAAAATTATTATACTATTTCAAATACAGATTTTGAACTATTTTACACCCACAAAAGTTTCTAATATTGGTAGAAGCAAACTGATCAAGCCATCCTAACAGCTTTTCCAACTGGCTTGTTTTAGGTATAACCATGGAAAAAGGCTGTGCCTATACTGAGTTCCGGGAAGAATGTTCAAGTCAGAGTCAGCAGAAGTCAGAGGTGGGGCGCTGACCCTCTGGCTATGCCCTCTCTAATCAGCCTTCCCCCACCCATTTAGAATTGAAATCTGAAAAATTCCCTTTCTGGCCCAGGTTCAATAGATTTTGGTCCTGTCTACAAGCTTTTTCATTGTATTGCCCTGAGAGCCTGTGCTTGGGCTTTTCTGGAGACTCAGCTCCCCCATCAATTGTCCAAAATGCATAAACCTTAGCTCCCAACTCTGCAGGTAAATAAGCCACCCACCTTCGCTCTTTCTTCCTGGGCCACGCCTGATGGAAAGAAGCCCACTGGGGCTGGGACACCTACCTCCTAGCACCTCGCAGTCGCTGTCCATGCTGTCATGCACACCTGCAAAGATGTTGGCCAGAGTGGACTTGCCCACCCCCTGCTCCCCTATGAGCACCACTCGGTAGTAGGTGTTCCCTGACTCAGAGGAGATGACTGAGTCTGTGGAGTCAGAGGACCAGCTTCGGCGGCAGTGGTCCTCAGGGGCAGCAGAATGGCGGTTTCGGTGGCTGTACTGGTGGGGCTCTTTCTGGACCATCAGATGCCTGCCATCGGCTGGGATGCTCCAGCGCTGCTGCTGCGGCTGCATGCCCACAGTGCCCTGGCGCATGGTGACATTCAGAGTCATCGTTGGGTCCTGGGGAGCAAAGCAGCCAAGATGGCAGCATTAGTAAGCATGAGTGAGAGCTCTGCTCAAATACATGGTCAGTCATCAGTAATATTATATTAGATGAGATGAGAAGCAAGTATCCCTAACATAAAAAACACCAATTAAACAGTCTCCAAAGCCCAACAAGACAGGCTTTCAACTGGACACACACACATACACACACACTGCCCACACTGTCAGTAACCAGCTCCTCAGGCAGACTGTCATTTACATGGAAAAAATAATACTGTTAACATCAACCACTGCCCATGGGCTTACCCCTTCCTCAAAGCAGACTTGGATCAAAGAAGAGCTGCACTCGGAGCTGGCACAAAGGCAGCTGGAAAGAATCAGCAGCCTCCAGAGATGACTTGAAAAGCAACAAGTTAATGTTGCTGGGGACCAACTGGTCAGGTTAGCTGCTCTTGTCTAAACTTGGCTCTTAATTGCACCAGTGTCCAGCAGGTTTTGTGCCTCAGTGGGAAACACGTGGCAATGACATCACCCCCACCCCTCCCCACCGCAACCCTGGCTGGACTGGACAGGCACTTATTGGAACTTCCATGTTTAGTAAAGTTGCTTTGATGCTCTCCAGCTGCCTGGAGAGCATCCACCTGCCATTATTGGGGGTAGAGGGGAAATTTTCTGTTTAAAGTTTATGCCTCAGCTGTGCCCTCTTATCCACAGATGCCACTTTTAAAGCATCTCAGCTCCAAACCTAGACACCCTGGCAGAGAAATGATCTGCTCATGTTCAGACCTAGCAAATTTGCACAGAAAGTGCCTCATTCTTAACAAACCACGTCCATTCTCAAGAATTCTTTAATTCAACTCAGATTCCTTTCTTGAGACAGAGTCTTGCTCTGTCACCCAGGCTGGAGTGTAGTGGCAGGATCACAGCTCACTGTAGCCTCCAACTCCACTTCAGCCTCCCAAGGAGCTGGGACTACAGACCTGCACCACCACGCCCACTAGTTTTTTTATTTTTATTTTTATTTTTTGGTAGAGACGGTGGTCTCACAGTGTTGCCCAGGCTGGTCTCCAACTCCTGGGGTCAAGTGATCCTCCTGCCTCGGCTTCCCAAAGTGCTGAGACCACAGGCCTGAGCCACCATTCTCAGCCCCCCTTCTTGAAGCAAATCAGAAGGCTGAAGACTACCCTAAATGATATTCAACAACTTCGCTACAACTTTCCCTTTGCAGACTGCCTCCCCTAGCCGGAAGGTCTGTTTTTCTGGCGACTGGCGACGAAGTGTAAGTACGCACATTGCAATCAGCAAGATGCACAAACAATGCTCTCCCACCCTCACCCCCACACTCCATACCCCAACACCTCGCCACTAACCAGGACCACCAGCTGGTTTTTTAGTCTCAAAAGCAGCACCTCAGTTGGCAGACTTACATTCAAACAACAAATACATAAAGCATCATTAAGGGCTGCCCTCTCTGACCACTCGATCTGTAGGAGGAGGTGACTGTCCTACCGAATTGAACTAAGGAACCAGCTGATGAGAAGCGACATCCTTTGCACTTGAAGCTCTGACCCCCACCAGAAAATCCCAGCGCAGAACGCACGTTTCAGGGGTTCTTTTCTCAACTTCGAAAGTTCTGCGGGCTGGGAAACTCCCACTCTCTCCCTTCTCCGTCCCGGGCCGCCCCCCTTACTTGGCTCGGCCGGATCGGCGTCGGGGCGTCAGCGTATCGCGTGGGTCTGCGCTGGGATACCCGGGCCAAGGAGCGGGTAGTGCTGCGCTGTGCCCGCCGTCCGTGCCCGCCGCCTGCAGCCGCCGCGGCCGGGCGGTTTATAACTAGCCCAGCCGACCCGCCGCGGGGCTTTTCCGTGACGTCAGCGCCCCCGCCGGGAGGGGGCGGCTCTGCAGCAAACTCGGAGTTGCAGCCACTTGGCTAAATCGGTTACTCGCAGTCACATGACCCCTTCTCTCTCCATTTAAAAAATAATGACAGTTCAATCCTGGGCCTCCTTTATTTTGTTTTATTTTCTTTTTTGCCAGGTGAACACAGGAAAATGGAAAAATACTCTAAGTGCCACTTAATCGTCCTTCCCAGCAAAACACTTGCAAGCTGGCGGGATAAAGGATGGAGAGAGAAGCAGGTTTGAGTTGAGAGCTCAGCTTTGCCAAGAAAACAGGGATCAACCTGGAATGCGCAGAGACTTTAGCCTCCAGGATGAGACTGCAGCCACCTTGAATGGCCAAGGCTTGTTTTAACCGCATCTTCTGCAAGGAAGACAGCCTCTGTCACCTTCTCTCTGGGTAGGGGGAAGCAGATGGAGCCCCACAAAGCTTTGTTTCCCTTCTCTGGCAAGGACCCAGAGAGAAGGGGCCAGAAAGAGGTGAGGAAAGAGGACAAGACCTTGAAAAGGGCAGTTTGGGAAAACAATTTAATTGAGGATCCAAGCAGATTGTGCTAAATGTTGTTGGCCCTGCTGCTCTGGGCCAGAATGCTGAGGCTCCTCAATCAGGGAATTTAATCAGCATCTCAATCACCAGCATCTCTGTACCAGGCTCCCTGGCAAGGCTACACCTTGGGCATGAGCCAATACAGCCTGGCCATGGGGAGGAGCACTGAGCCCACGGCCCCTATGAGAGACTCCTGTGAACAAAGGACACAGGATAATAACTACTACTACCATTTACTATGTACCTCTGAGGACCTCTGCTTAGTAGGTACTGTTAGGCCTCCTGGGACCTTAATCCTTACTACACTCCTGCAACGTGACTCAATTGCTACCCTCATTGTATGGAGGAGGAAGATGACATAGGGCCAGACAACTTGCCCAAGGTCATACTGCTGGTATAAGTGGCAGGGTCAGGACTCAAAGCCTGGTTTGCCTGAGTCTCTGCACTGCACCACGAAGTGAAGGATTTCAATGACCTTTTTCCGGGGACATGGGTATTTCCCAGATGCTGTGTTTAGAGATGATGCTGGCCTCTCCAACATACTCGTCCGCTTTTTCGGCCAGCTTCATCTCTGGGTTGGCTGGTGGCTCCGGGAAGCAGCCAAAGGCACCAGCATCTATTGAAGCAGTGGACTCTGCTGTGATTAGAGTCGATTCACAGTTATCCTGCAGGCATTTATCTGCTTTGGAAATTAGCTACATGACCAGCTGCTGAGACCTGCTAGGTCCCAAGCTAGCAAAGGTGGAATCCACAGAGTAATGAAAACTTAGAATTCCTTTAGTCTCAGGTATTGTGGCCCCAATCTCCTACTTATCTTATACATAAGAAACCTGAGACCTAGAGAGATGATGACCGCTTAGGACATGGCAGAGCTGGAACTACAACCTGGGGATCATAATTCTCTGGATGCCCTTTGCTTCTGTCAAGTTTTTCTTCTGGGTTTAGCTGACAGGGAGTGGCTACAGATGTGGGGAAAGGGAAAAAGGAGGAGATGGGGGTGAGGAGAGATCATCTCCAAGGGTATATCACTGACTCCATTCTAAAACACATGTAGTTGATGAATAATCTGCGTTTCAAAATGTTCCATGCTTTTTCCATACTGACACTCCTACTCTGTCAACTGGTCTCAACGGAAACATTATAGGAGTAAAAACTAAGAAGAAATCAGTTTATAAGCATATGATATAGTTTCTTAGTTCTACTTGTGCCCATTGATAAGAACCTGATACTTCACACTCATAAGAACCTAATTCTGCCCAGGCGCGGTGGCTCATGCCTGTTATCCCAGCACTTCGGGAGGCTGAGGAGGGTGGATCATGAGGTCAGGAGTTCGAGACCAGCCTGGCCAACATAGTGAAACCCTGTCTCTACTAAAAACACAAAAAAATAGCCGGGCGTGATGGCGGAAGCCTGTAATCCCAGCTACCCAGGAGGCTGAGGCAGGAGAATCACTTGAACTTGGGAGGTGGAGGTTGCAGTGAGCCAAAATCATGCCATTGCACTCCAGCTTGGGCAACAGAGCAAGACTCCGTTTCAAACAAAAAGCTAATTCTATGCCTAGGCAATATCTTCTATGAAATATTTGTCATTGGTATATGTGAAACATACAAAAGAAAATGAACTCCAAGGACTGGGGAAGGGGAAGGGGGTACATAGCAATGTTGTGTTTGGATAATAGAACAATTTTTAAATTTCTTAAATTGTTTGTCTCACAAGAAGCTACATGAACACAAACAAGAAAACTAAGAGTCTTGACTGAATAACAGTTAAGTTGGAGTAACTATTTAGAGAAAAATCTTAGTTATACTTCACAAAAAGCACATCTGAGAGCCAAATCTCATCTAGCCAAGTCCCAGATCCCTCAACCAGGATTCCAGCTCACTGGGATCATCTTGAGGGTGTGGAACTGGAGAGAAAAAGTAGAATCAGGGCATTTGGGTAAGTGGCAAGTTTTGAAGAGGAAAAATTGGCAGAATGTTGTTTCTTGTTCTATGAATTATTCTCTCCATATTCTTTCTGCCAGCATTTGAAGGCTTCCTCAGTTTCTAGCTACAATGAGTAGCTCAAGAGTATAGCAAAGAGGCAGAATTCAAAGCAACAAAAATAACTCACATTTACTGGCCAAAATACATGCCTATCTCAGCTAACCTGCATCACCCCTGCAGTTACCCATATTCTACGGAGAAACATGCTGAGGAATGAGGTTAAATAAGCAGCCCAGGGTCACAGAGCGGTTAGGTGGCAGATCTGCACTCTCTGGGGCCAAAGCCTTAACTGCTGTTCTAATTACAGTAGGGGATATATGTCACTCCTCGTTTCCATACTAGCCCCACCTTGGTCTACCACCTTCCTAAAACCCTCAAAAGAGAAGTTTTTGTCTGATTAGCCCATGACCTTCACTGGGCCACCTGTTCCTAGTGGGCAGGGTTACTCTACTTAAAGGCATGAGCCATCCTCTCCTCTCTCTTTCCTCCACATCGCTGCCGTAGGGGAGAAGGTGACCTTGGGGTCCGTTCGGGGACTCTGCCCACTACTCTGCCACTGTCACTGTCACTTAGCATGTAGACTTGAGCAACCAGGTCCCATGATTTCAAATGGGATGAGAAAGGAAGGAAAGAGTTAGGGAAAGAATAGAACCTTTGACCAGGGTTGTAAATCAGGGCATCCGGGACTTGCACAGACATTAAGATAATATTACTTTGAATACCGAGTCTTGAAAACTCTAAGAGGGAGAGATGATGGGTAGGCTCAGGATCTGTACATGCCTGAGTCCATCATTCTACTCTAAAAGCTGTAATTCTATTTGGAAAACAACAGAATCATCTATACTATAGACTTACTACAACCAAGGTCATGCCTGCCCAAGCCATCAAGTAAATGCTACTCAGTGGTAAAGGAGACGCCATGCAAACATTCTCCCTTTCCCAACAACAAGGAGGTAGATTATAGACTGAACACTGAGTAGGTGACAAATTAAATGGATTTTTTCCTACTGTTTTTTAAATTTTTTTTTTCTTTTCTCTTTTTTCTTTTTTCTTTTTTTGTATGTTTTTTGAGTGATGGAATCTTGCTATGTTGCCCAGGCTGGCCTCACCACTCACAGGCTCAAGTGATCCTCCAGCTTCAGCCTCCTGAGTTGCTGGGACTATAGTTGCTGGAGTCTGTTTTGCATTTTAATGCCTTTAGGCAAAGCATGCTGGCCAGTTTCCCACAATCCTTACTCATCCTCAATATATTCTACTTCAAGCAGTTTCTCTCATTTATACTATCTACCTGGCCCCTAAAGGCATTTGACTTTGTGATCTTTGCCTGGGCTGAAAGAAATGGTAGAGGATTTAACATCAGAAAAGGAGGTTCAAATCCAGGCCCTTCCTCTTATGCATGTGATGCTGGGGATGTCACCAAGCCCCAGAGGCCTTGGCTTCTGCTGTTCTGAGAACTAAAGAGTTACAGAATGTGAAAGTGCTTGTTAACCACGGAGCACTATGTCAATGAGA